GGGGGGGGGGGGAAGAGATTCTGGTGGTTTGAAATGATTTGCTGGGGGGACGGCCATGATACGAGTGCTACTAGTGAGAGTCTTATCGTGAATAGGCAAGCATGTGCCTTGCGTGGTTGTGCTGCTGTAACTCTGGCTGTGACTCTTGGACGGCCACATGGCTTCCCTTGTGTGTTGAATTTCTCGCACCTGATGCTGAGAAAATAATATGATGATGGCTTGATACGAGAAAAAGTGGCCTGCGTGTGATACACATGATTGCCTTGTGTGCAGCCTCAAGTTTCGTTGCGCGAGGAGGGCCTCTTTTGTTTGTGCGCAGGCCGAAAGGCTATGAATAGCACCAAATCTCAGGCATTCGCAGCCCGTCTGGCGGATTTGATTGGATTCCGCCAAGTCTGGGGACTCCGTATTATCAGGCCTGTGTGATGCGACTCCGTACAGGCTGTGTGAGACGGCGCCATGCATAACATGCAGAAACCTGAGGATGGGCAAACTCCTTGGCCTTTTCTGGGAGACGCTGTTATCATCTTACAAGCTCGAAACACGCGTGTTCCTTCCATTCTGTTTTGGATCGTGTCCATTGGTGGCGTCGCACGCTCTTGTGCGAGCCTCTGCAAAATCTCACACCCTCCTATCCTATCATTGAGCGGGCATGTGGCCATTTGCTTCCCCATCACATCACTCTCCTCCCCCACAGCAGAACGACGACGCCCGGCGACGCCCGTCATTTGTTGTTCCTTTTTTTTTCAGGGTCCCTGGCACAGCCTGTTCATGCGTGGTTTAGGGAGTACATGGCCTGGATGAGTACACGACAGCCTTGGAGCCTAGGCTTCGAAAAGGTGCCCCCGGGCCGGTTTAAGTCGGCCGGTAAGGCTGGGAGGGATTTTGTTGGGTTTTCCGGACTGTGACGCAAGAGAGCAAAGCCCTGCTGGGACGGGTCTAGATGGGATGGATCGAGATCACGTCAGCGGTCTTTGGAGCTAACTGCTGTTCCGCCGTGAAGAGAAATAAAAAATTGCACCAAGTTTGTCAAGAGAAAATGATATTGGTTGCCCTGAGTATGACGTGTTTCACTCCGGGACGGCACACGCGTTGCCCGTTCTAGCTAAGATGATGGCGGGTGATCTGATCAACAGATGATGGTGGTGCTGGTGTTCTCTTTACAGTACACCAAAACCTTTGGGTACTTCCTCTTACAGGTACATATTATCACGGAGATGGAATCACGGAGTAATATGGAACGGTGATAAAGTCCATATCCGACACCGGCCAAGTAAGAAGGCGAGAAGAGTCCGTAGGTGGTCAAATGCTTTGCCTCGACTTTGACGACACACTTACGGAGTACGAGTACAAGCAAGTAATAGGAGAAATGTAACTGTGTTTTACGTACAAGTACGGAGTACTGTACGGTGAGTGGAACTAATGCAGTGCGTTTGCTACTGTTGTGTAAAGCGAACGGTGAGGTGGCTTGCATGATTCGTCTGTTACAGATGCTGCAGCTGAGACTCACACTGAGACACGAAAAGCACCTTTCTTTTTTTCTTCTCTTCTTTTTCTTCTACTACCATTTACACCTTCTCTTCACCGCTTCAAAACAGCCTGGCGAATGAAAAGACTTTGCCTGACACATACACAAGGCGTTAGCGGGAATGCGTGTTGCGTGTGTGTGTGCACCAAACAGCGAAGCCTTGTTATGTGCCTGTTTTACCCGCAGCGCCGCCTTTGCAACCACTCACAACCGCTCACCACCAACTGACGACCTAAGTTCGAGGTGGTGTGGTGTAAAGAGCACGCAGAGACTCGGGTTGGTTGCCTGTCAAGAAATAAGGGGGCTTTTTCGAGGAATGGCGGGGGCTGCGGTGGTGGGGGTTTGGGTTTCTCCTGGGCCTCCAGTGTGAAGCATTCGTCGTCTTGTGTCTCCCAGTGTATGTACTCCATACCGATGAAAAATTTTCCGCAGTGGTTTTGTTTGGCTTTGACTTTTGGCTTTTGGCATTGGGTCGTGTTTGGCTTGCTACGTTCTCTATACGGAGTGCCGCGTCTCCCCCACGTGAGCCACAAGATGAATCATGGGGAGATGTTGGATGGCACATGTTCTGAATACTTGATACGGAGTGCTGTACTGTGCAAGAGGCTTGGGCACGGAATTGCTGCACGGCCCTAATTGGGCACTGCACTCTTCTGATTCATTGCAAATGCTAATACTCTTAAAGAAAACGCCTTGTATGGCTTCCTGAATTCCCAGTAGGATGGGATCAAATATGCTACATCCTTCGTGGCTACTAGCTCAACTTGCCGCTCTCAAACATTTCAGATTTAGCCATCTCGCCAGTGTGGGGGTGGGGTTGGGAGCCGGGACGACGGCGTCAGCAGACTCATTGTCGTGATGTAAGCCTTTGATCGCGAAAAGACGCATTAGAATGATATTGTGCTCTCAGGCTATTTTGGCAGAGACGGGATGGAATTCTCCCCAGCCGTTGGGTGTTATCCTCGTCATCTATCAAGGCAAAGTACGAGGATTGCTGCTCCCGCGCTAATCGTCTGGATCTTACCCCTCTGGAGTCTGAGTGGATGATCGACTCCTCGTTCATGTCTAGCTCCAACGTGAGCTCTACAATGGCCAGGCAAATCCTCGATATCAATCATATCAGTTTGCATGAGGGCCATGCACATGTATGGACAATCTCTGATTAGCACCGGCTCAGACATGAACTAGGCCTGGGGAAGGCGGGGAAATACAATCCGTCAATTCTGCCTATCTTGCCGATAAAGCATTCATGCAAGCTGGATATCTTCCGGGGGGCTCCCTCGCAGCAGCTCGCCTTTGTTTCTTATCTTGCGTTTGCCGGCGATACTCGCGGGGAATTTGGTGCCTCGAGCTCGAAACAAGGCCGCGGCCTCGCCTTTCGGTTTCCTAATCCGAGCATGTGGCCAAAAAAGCTGCACCGAGGCTAGATTCATGGGCTATTACAAGGCGATTCCCTCGGGCGATGCGGGAGGAAGGGTAGAGACGGCCCCAGCTTTGGTCTCGGTGCTAGCCACAGCTTGATATGATGAAATTGCAGCCCCCACGAAGCCATCGCTGCGAATACCGAGCAGTATGTACCATGCACCACTGGAGATCCTTCTTGTGCTGGGGATCGCCTGTGGGGTTAGCAAAAGACATCACGCTTCCCGGCGATAAGTGGCCAATATAGGAAAAGAGCAAGATGCTGGGGACCCTGAAATAGTGCCTATCTTGTCAGCTGAACATGGAGCTCCAGGAATACAATCGTCGACCGGACCGCAGTTTTACGGGCGACTCTTCAAGCCATCGTCGTCGTTGCGGGTGGATCAGAGAGAGCGCTTGCGGCGCCAAATTCGCATTGTGAGACACAATGTCCCAATTTTGCCTGTTTGTGGATTGTTGCGATTTCTACTCTTACTCGTGCGCAAAAATACGAAGAGCCTGTTACAGCGGTAGCCGCATCAAGCTCTTCGCTTCCAGGGACTTGGGCTTTTCCTACGGATAATGAGGCTCATCTCCAGATTTCCCGCACCCCACCCGCCAGGGACCTCGCCATCGACGCACAATCATCTAACAAAAGAATCTCAATTGGAAGTAATATAACAAGGGGGCCTTTCTCGGACACGGCTGGCCTGCTACGTTGCAGTGCCAAGTTGGCAAAAAAGGGAACTCGGTCAAGAAATGAAAAATTTTCCTTCTCGCCTGGGGGAAGTCATCCAGGGAAGAAAAAAAGTACTGTGCGTATCCGGAGTTGCTTTGCGCAAGCGGAATTCCCAGCAAGGAATGTATCAGCCAATCAATAGCTTGAATTGCGGAGGGCGTCAATCCATCAATCAAACGCCCCTGCTGGCCTTGATCTGATGCCTGTGTGGGCTGGTTCTAGGTCTGTCTGTACACGGCGATTCATACTATGTATGGGCAGGGATTTGGGAGTACGGAGGACTTGGTATCAATTCTACGCACTTGTGAGATACGGTCTTCAGCCTGGTTTGATGATGGCTTTGTCGTTGAACTGACTTGTGTTAGGAAGAATCGACGCACATCCCTGTTGTTCGTGCCAGCACAGCTGTCGGCATTGGTTCGGACATGTACATCTGCTTGACTCTCATACCGCATGCATCTGCTTGATGCCAGCCTGTCTATCTGCAACTGGATTACCCGTGCCTGGATGCTGAATGACTCGGGGGAGGGTCGCTGCAGAGTGGCCTTGTTCGATGCTATGCAAGGCACCGGAAGGGGGCCGGAGACGGACACCGCAACTTTCATCTCCTCTCCGTACCAATATGCAGCTCCGGCATAATGTGAAATGCGAAGCTCATCGTACGAGATCCGCAAGCAGCCTGGAACGCGGGCAACCCCAACAAGAACGAGAGTCGCAAGCGACTGCTGGAGCCGAGCCACTACATCAGATCATAACTGTTATCATACAACACATGCAGGACGCAATTGATCCGAATACAACCCCGTTAATGCTGCCTTTTGATTTGCCGGCCTTCCGGCTACGTGTGTATCGGCACACAGGCAGCACGATCGGATGATAGCGATCCACTCCTATGATCATCTCACGCCTCATGCACAATATATTAAATCCGCAGGTTGCTGGCGCCGAAGGGCACTACGCTGATGGCCAATGCCAAGAGCCGATGCATATGTACTCCGTACGGATGTATGTATGTGCCCTCTCCTTACCGCTCCACCGCTTCCTTGATTCGCCTTCCCTCCCATTCTTCGGGCAAACAGTGGACTGCGCCGTGGAAACGCCAGATTGATACGCAGGGGAGGGGGGATGCCATGGTTTCAATGCGCCGAAATCGAGCCATCGTGGGGCTCCAGGGAACCAGAGCAAAGCTGCAACATGTCCGTTGTCGAGGAATACTTGCTCCTTAACTCCCTGCCTGCATCGCTGAAGTGGATTTGAGCGGCTCCAGACTGGGGTAATGCCAATTACTCCGTAAATGCCGCTCCTCTGAACAATGGATCATGATGCAGCAGGAAACTCGAAATGTTTTCCCCACAGTCCTACTAGTGTCTCCCAATTGCCCAGGGATCGATGCGACAAGCACGGAGTAGGGAGCACGGAGTAGCATCCAAGTTCTTTTGCATATGAGAAACAAGAGCTACGAGATGAATCTTACTTGTCCGGGCAGCTCAGTGCCTTGTTCGCACATGCAATCTCATCAGAGAGCGTCGGCTAACTCAAAAGCCCTCTAGCTCAAAAGCTAGCAATATCACATCACCATCTCTCGGATAATTAACCGAACCAGAGGTTATTTCAAGCATGTGAAAATACTAGCACTTGGCATCTCCGAGATCTTTGATGCGTGTTCGGCACACAGCGGCAGTGCCGACATACCACTCTCCTTCCGCTCAGCCGATTGAAGAAAAAGAGGTCCGGCATGTAAATTGAGTTTGGCTGGCTTCTTGTCCCGCAGCGGAAGGCAAAATTAAGAGAGATACTCCGTACGATTACAATTGAGATGCAGGGAGATCCCAGGAATCGATCGGACCGAGAAGGTGTTAATTCGGCTGCTTAACCGACCAAAACCCTGATGCCAACCCCCAACGGCTCGGCAAGGAAACTTTCCGGTCACAACGATCCAATCGGCCTGAGTGAATGATACACCTGGATTTCTAAATGGTGGTTGTTGTTGTTTTCATTGGTATCCGTTTACGCAGCCGCAACAGTACTTCCCTTTGTGAACGTGAAGTGGTTACTGCAGATGTAGAAACTCCCAAAAGGATTGTGAAGAATATGCCTTAGAATGGCTCCATTCGCCAGTGTAACTCCTGTCCTCTCCTCCTATCAACAGGTATAATACAGTAGCTGCTATGTAGATAAGAGCCATCGGCATCCGCTGACAGCCCAACCCGATAGTTCCCGACGCTTGAGATTGATAACAAAGACAATCAGTGGGCTTGCATAACTTTGTATCAACAAACAAGAGGTACATCCTTTTAGGCAAACATGTGAAGAGCCCGCTACGCCCACCTCTTGGGCGACTTATGAGTCGAATCACGTCAGTTGTGACCGACCACTCGTTATAAGCATCAGCAGCATGTGAGATAACTTTGGCGCCGCTGATCTAGCAACGAAAGCCGGCTGAGATTCCCTTCAGTAAAGATATACGAGTACGCGCAAGCGCTAATCCGTTGCAAATCCTCATGAGATACCTTCAAGATGAAACCTGTCTCGATTGTGCTAGTCAGCACATGGCGAAGGAACGTGTATCGTCGATTCTGCGGGGTTTGAAGGACACCCTGACGACGACTCTCCTTGCTTCTGGCCGCATACCACGCATGAATGAGGGATAGGTAGGGTGAGTGTAGTGTACTTGCATTTGCTCAAACTCTTGTACCTTGAACTCAATGCGGAGGCTTCCCCGTTGTCTTGCGTGAATGCGTTACTAGTAGATGGACAAGGGCTTTGACAGCATCTAGCAGGAGGAGATGAGGCCGATCGTGATCGCGGAGGACCGGCGATGTTAGCCGACGACGACCAGGCCTCCTTTCGTTTGCCTTTTGGATAAGGAACTTTCGTTGATTGCGCTATATGCAGTCCTCTTTACCTTAACCAGCCGACGCTACCCTTTACACGGCCTTTTTATATGGCTCGCCCCCTCTCAGTGCTCGATTGCGAGCCACACTCTCGGCTCTTCTCTGCATAATAGGGGGAATTGGGGGGACATTCAAGATAAGCATACACAAGCATGGTTGGCTTTCAGACGGGATGCATTCCGATATCACGCCCTTCTGCAAAACCCAAGCCCCTCATTTCCAAACATACATGGCGATTTGTAAACAAGAGGCCCACATTAGCTCAGTTGTTGGCCGCATATTTGTAGAGGCCCAGGCGCATCTCGGCGGCTTAAATCGATAGATATGGCGAAAGCAGCCAGTGAGATTCGCTTGCTTTTAAGCTGCAGGGGAAGATGGGCCAGATGAATGTTTGGTCCGCGGGGCCCCGGGTTCTGCTGCGGTCGTTGAAGACTGCCAGTGCTTTCCCGCATTGATGCCCAGTTTGTCGGAAAGGAGAAGGTGTATATGGTATCACGCAGGTCGGGATGCAGGTCTGGCCGCATGGGGGCCAAAAAAGGTACGAAGCAATGGAACGAAACTGGTGTAGAAAGGGCCGACAGCGGCACAAAAGGGGACTCTGTGGCGATGTGCAAGAATACCTATGTAAAGAGGGAGAGATGGGGGGAGAGGACACGATGTGGCACATACTATGGGGAGAAGATGCCGATGCGTTTGCATGGAAGATGGGGGGAGAGTTGATTTGGTGTTGTTTCTTCTGGAGGTACTACAGTTTAATTTACAGGATTGGTGTGGGCAACACTTGCGGTGACCGAATAGGTAGTGTTCTTGCCCGGCTGAATAGTCCCTTGCGTCTTTGCTTTGCATATCGGCTCTATTCCAGGAGGTGTGCGAAGCGAAATAGATTTCCATGGGAGGAGGTAGGACAGAGGCTGCTATGGCAAAATAGATTAATGCAACGGCGAAAGGAACTCGACTATTCGCGAGGCTCCTCAAGGATTAGATGTGATATTTGCCGGCGGAAATACTTGATGGAAACGTGTCAATTTCATCCTATTCGCTGGGTAATGTTGTTGGTCCTGTTGGTTGGTAACTTCGGTTTGATGGAGTAGTAAACACTCAGGTATGTCGAATGTCAACACTGCGGTTGACTATCCGCATCATAAAGTGCATTCTAATCCGGTAGAGAGATTTACCGCTATAGCATTTATGCATTTTTATCAGCATGTCTTAAGAAGCAAACAATTATGACTTCAGTCATCTTCTCAGGGGTGATGCTGTTGATTGATTTATCCTCGAGCAGCTGTATATGGTCGATAAACAAGCTAGGAGATGCCCATATCGTTCTGTCTCTTCCAATTACCGCCAACGGTACTATTTTCCCATTAAGGAATGTTTCTTGAGCGTGTAATGTATCTAAGATCTGTTGGAGCTGGACCAATTCTTTCCACACCGATTCCTGGATAAATTTCAACGTTGCCTAATATCAAACTGCGATAATGCTACTAGATCAATCTCAAAACGATTTAGGGGTATCCCCTAGGCTTCTGTAATTGCGATATAGAGGATATAGGATAACCCACATACGACTTGAGCAAAGGCAAAAGAGGGAAAGAGACCGTGGTCAAGAAAGCGAGGGATAAACCCCAAGAAACAATGTGCACTGTTCAACAGCCCCCTCCAGTCACAGTCAATCAAATATCTCACTTTATATATTTATTTATTGAGATGAGCATAAAGGATCTATGTAATCTATCAGTAGAGAATCAGGAGTCGCGAATGTATCCTTCAAGACAGGCAAACTACACGAACCTAGCCCGCTGAAAGTAGAAGGGGTAACACAAGAGAGAGACACCTTCTTTACCGGTTTGAAGATTGGCACTTTAAACCATAAATTGCCAAAAATAATTCCCTTAAAGAGATACCCGGGGACACCAACCATAGGACAGTCCGCATAACATCGACATTTCTGTCTACTTGATGGACCTTGTATTTGCGAGGCTCTCGACATCGAGGACGGATACTATCCTGGAGTGTGTTTAACTAACCATATGCTAGTGTGAGTTCAAGTTAGAGCCATAAAGGTATCTGAAAGCTACTCCATCAAGTCCCAAAGACAAGTCCCAAAGACAAGGCGCAAAACGCGTTTGCAGACGGCCAATACGCAAATCAAAACTTCTAGCAGCCTCTAGCCACAGAGGTGCCAAATAATTGGCTTTCAAAGTGCAGATTATGCACCCCGTAGTTAACATGGTAGTATACATGTCTGTCTCTCGACGATTCATAAAGATGTCTTGTGATGGACTTCCAATAAAGTCTCCCAGAAGGAGAAATGACTCCCCACTGTCATTCGTTATCCCCATTTAACTCCGAAAAAGGTCAGAGGTTTCTTTCCTGACCGCGAGGCGGCAGTATCTGCATTCTCCAGATATATCCTTTCGTGGCCCTTGATATCTACGAATAGGTATTGGTACTCATATTCGCTCTGGCCACGAGGCATAATCATGTGGCATTGTACTACTCCGTTTGCCAGAGGGCCCTCGACCTGGGAAACATTAGTAAGTTTTGTAACAACGAGAGAAGTTTCAGAAAGTTGAAACCTACATAGAAATGCATCATGAGATGCTGGTTGCCCTGGGAGTCTGTCCTCTCAGTGGACCTTTGAAACCATGTAAGCGTACTGTCTCGCGTTCCCAAATACTCGCAAACACCTACGTAATCGGTCGTGCCCTCCTCCATTTATTAAACGTCTCATCTCCATGAGCTGAAATCTTGTTCGCATCACCTAGAAGCTCAAGGCATCTGTGATCCTTTTTGATCATGTTCACGGCTCTGTTGAACTGATTTGTCTTGCTCTCGGGAGAAAAGACATCCGTCCAAAGAAAGTATGTAACACCTCCCTAAATATCAACAATTAGCCTTTCTAGTTCCATATCCTACAATAGCCAGCATAAAAACACAATCCGGGAAACATACGGTGCAAACGAGACCAATGATAACCATGCCAAAGTTATAAGACTGTTGGGTTGCCCTCGCCGCCTTCTCGGCAGCTGATAGTTCGCTCCATGGCACAAATCCGGTGTCGTTGAATGGCGTGACGCTTCTCCGCTTAGATTTTGGGTTTGCGGTAGTTCCCAGACCAGTCGGAGACGCAAAATGGCGTACGAAGAGAGGCCGAGCAGATCGTGCAATTGCGGAATTCGTGGCAGATCGAATCGCGGGAACGGATGTTGTTGGCTTCATCATGGCGGCTCTCCGGCTTCCATCTTACCGAGAAGACTCGTCAGGATGAAATCGGGCAGAGAAGCGCAATAGCCTAGCAACTCGACGAAGCTCTTACATGGCAAAGAGCGAAGCTTCCCTTGGCTGTATATTCGGAATCTTGCGCGACACCGCCCTCGGCAGAAAGTTGAAAGTGGGGAGACCACCAAGCCAGAAAAAGCTTAGCGGCGCCGATATGCCACTTTACCGCATCGCCCTGCCTTGGCCTTGGGAGTCTCCTTAATAATTATCCCAACATTGGATTGTGCTGCGTCCTCTCTGTCCTCCCTTGACACGGTCGCTGCATAAACGGGCAATACAGCGGTTCCCCAGAAATCAAAAGGCTTCGATCGAACTCGCCTCGGATCCCCAGCACCGCCTCCCAAGATGAGTGCCCTCGCGTCGAAACAGCAATCGCTCAAGATCTTCGAGAAGTTGAAGACGAAGCCGGCCAACAAGGTGCGAGAACATGGTCGCGACGGCACTCGAGATTCCAGAAACTAACGCGCGCCATTGCCTCCCTAGATATGCTTTGACTGCGGACAGAAGAATCCCACATGGACGTCGGTGCCTTTCGGCATCTATCTATGTCTGGACTGCTCCTCCAATCACCGTAACCTCGGTGTTCACATCTCCTTTGTGCGATCGACAAACCTGGATCGTATGTATTCGGGATCATATCTTCTCTGTTTGCGATACCCTTTCTGACAAAAAGACGCTATTTAGAGTGGCAATGGGATCAACTTCGAGTAATGAAGGTCGGCGGCAACGAGTCTGCGACCAAGTTCTTCCAGCAGAACGGAGGTACCGCGGCATTGAACAGCAAGGATCCCAAGACCAAATACCAATCCAGCGCGGCCACCAAATACAAGGATGAGCTGAAGCGACGCGCCGCACGTGATGCTCTGGAGTATGCTAACCCCGATGATCCCGATTAAGTGATAGGCCAAACCTCTAACCTCAATGTTAGATACCCCGAAGAAGTTATTATCGATGCTGTTGAGGGAGATGGTAGCTTCACCCCTGCTGGAGAGCCAGACGACGATTTCTTCTCATCTTGGGACAAGTCCACGATCAAGAAGCCGACGCCCCCAATCTCACGAAATGCGACACCTCCGGTCGTTGGCCGCACCCCATCACCATTCCTTACCGCCGGTAACAAGGATGTCCCACGTGCTGCATCGCCTTTATCAAAGACCGACTCAACAGAGACGAAGCCTGCGGCTAGTCGAATTACTACTTCTGCTACCCTGCGCAAAACGGCCACGGGTAGTGGCGCTAAGAAGACAAACATTCTCGGTGCAAAGAAGGTGCAAAAGCTGGGCGTCAAGAAGGTCACTGGTGATATCATCGATTTCGACGAGGCAGAGAAGAAGGCCAAGGAGGAGGCAGAGCGTATTGCCAAGCTTGGATATGACCCCGAAGCCGAAGAGGAACAAGCACCAAAGAGCAGCGCGGCTTCATCTGCCGCCGCTATTATTTCCCCGACCCCCATCAGCCCAGCTAGCAGCTCACACACACGGCAAAAGTCGAACGCTGAAATGGAGCGATTGGGTATGGGCATCGGCCGCCTTGGATTTGGCCAGATTGGTGGCGCCAAGGCCGCTGCTTCAGCTTCTTCAGCAAAGAAGAATGCCGGTGGCTTCGGCTCTGTTGGGCCTGTAAAGGCATCTGCTGCAGGTAAGTCATCATCGCGTCTCGCAACATCTTTTCATAAACTGACAATTGCTTCTGCAGACGAGTCTGAGACGTTTGCTCGCAACAAGTTTGGCGCCCAGAAGGCTATTTCCTCTGACGAGTACTTTGGCAAGGGCTCCTACGACCCCAATGCTCAAGCCGAAGCCAAGACTCGACTTCAAGGCTTCGAGGGAGCCACCGCCATCTCTTCAAATGCCTACTTTGGACGAGAGGAGGAAGAAGAGGTTGAGGATTATGGTGATCTCGAGTCAGCTGCCAAAGACTTTGTGCGCAAGTTTGGAATCACGGCCGCTGATGATTTGGAAAACCTGTCCACCGTCATCGGTGAGGGTGCTACCAAACTGCAGAGCGCCATCCGTTCTTATCTTGATGGTTAAAAGTACTATTTAGCGATTTTCCCCCACTTGTAAGTAGTGGGCACGAAAGAGTCAACGACTTGCGATTTTGGATGGAAAAAAGTTCTTTATTCCAAAGGGATAACATTCATGCAGGTGATGGGGGCGAAATGTTAATGGGCGGGATTCACAAGGTGATACGGAGTATCAGAGATGGTGTTGGCAGGGCGGACACTACCCGAGATGGCGTAAATTGAAATGTCATGAATAGACGTGGAGTCTTTTGTTCTGCCTTTTTCTAGTTTGTATTTATTTTTATGGCAGGCACAAAACATTTTAAAAACGAACCCTCATATTCCTCTCCGTCTCTTGTGAATAAAGGACAATTAATCTAGATTAAGGTTATCTGAAGGAGAATTGAGCGTGTCACTACGAGGATACTGGCCATTGTATTCTTTTTAACGGTTTATTTGCTTTGTTGGTACATATAGGCTAATTATGAACATTTATATGCTGAATAGTCTACATGGAGTGGCATGATAACATTAAGGAGATATGACAGGGCTTCGTGAAAACAAGACCGAAGAAAAAGCAAGGAAAATAGTTTTCGTCTCTCAATTTTTTACAGCTTGGATGAAGGGCCAACCAGCATTGAGTTGCCCTTTTTCAGCCAAGCAACGGCATCGGTAATGAACTCATCGACAACAGCCTTGGCGGGCTTCTGCTCGTTGACAACGGCGGCAGCCTTGCCCATCAGGAAGGGGCGGAACTGCTCAAGAGGATCGTCATCGTCGTCATCGTTGGCACTGGTCTGGATGCCCTCAATCTTGGGCTTCTCGCCGCCGTTGAGGACCTTGTCGAGGTCGGCCTCGTAAGGGATGACACCCTTGGCGGCGAGCTCCTTCATCTCCTGCTGGCGGTTGGTCTCCCAGTCGTTGATGTAAGAGTTGTTGCGGACGCGCATGGGGCGGCCGGTGAAGATGATGGTGCGGACGTTGTCGTCGTGGCCGGCGGTGCGGACGGCCTCCTTGTGCGACTTGGGCGCGCCGGCCTCGTCGGTCAGGATGAAGCGAGTGCCGACCCAGACGGCGCCGGCGCCCATCATGAGGGAGGCGGCCAGCAGCTGGCCGTTGTGGATGCCACCGGCGGCGATGACCTGGACGGGGCCGCCGGTCAGGGGCGACTTGTGCTTGTTGCAGATCTCGACGACGGCGGGGATCAGGACGGTGGTAGGGATATCACCGGTGTGGCCACCGCCCTCACCACCCTGGGCGCAGATGATGTCGACGCCGACGTCGATGCACTTCTGGACGTGCTTGACGTGGCCGATCATGTTCATGTACAGGATGCCATGCTTGTGCAGCTTGTCGACGATGGCCTTGGGGGGAACACCGACGGCGGAGACGAACAGCTTGGCGCCGGACTCGATGATGATGTCGGTAAGCTCGTTGAGCTTGCCCTTGGTGTAGTCATAGCTAGAAGAAGCGCAAACGTGTTAGCCTTTTTGCATGTGCAAATCTCGGTCCATCTCGGGGGTTTCTCTCTTCTTCAGCCGACACCGCCGTCATCACGAGCATGTGATTGTGATTACTGAGTGGGTGGCGTTTTGGAGGGGAGGGTCCGGCTTACTTGGTCTTACGGGCATTGCCACCAACCTGGGGGATAAGCAGGTCAACACCAAAGGGAGCGTTCTTGTCGTTGAGGTAGCTCTTGAGCTCGGCAATCTGCTCCTTGAGCATCTCTGGAGTGTATCCGACACCGCCGATGACGCCCATACCGCCGGCGTTGGTGACGGCAGCCGCCAGCTTGGGACCGGCGGCGACGTTCATGCCGGCCAGCAAGATGGGGTGCTTGATCTTGAAAAGATCGGTGATGGGTGTGCGGATCTGCTCTGTTGTTTTTGCGCGACAATCACATGGTTAGCCGTGCTGAGCTGATTCCAGGGAGATTGGGGAAATCTAGACGCGACGGTGGCCGGAAAGAAAACTTACGAGAAGCCATTGTGACTGATGATTCTGTCTGCAACACCGGAAAGGGTATCAAATGAGAAGAGAAAACACGGTATGGAGAGAGACAACAGAGGGAGAATGGTATGAAGAAAGAAGAGAAATGGGGAGCGGCCGATCAAGTTTAATAATGGAATTTAGATTCTGTACAGCCGAGAGGGGACCGTCGGAGGCAGATGCGTTTCCAGACATCTCCATCAGTTGACCCTGACGAACCGAGGCTTGGGCTAGGAGCTAGAGCCAAAGGGGGTTTAGGGCGGTATCGGTCTGAGGTGGAGTTCTGGGGAAAGATGCCGAGGTGCTGGAGTTAGTCAGCAGACTTGGAGAATCTGGAGTACATACATCGTCATGAGCACGAGCATTACTCCGTACTCTTCTCCGTAGTTTCTTCCGATTTAATATGAGCATGGGTTGACCCTTGCGGGGAAATACATGTGTCAATACCAAATTTAGTGATATTGGTGTCATCATAGAAGTATGGACGTGCCTGAAATCGGACAATATTATCAAATTGTCTTCCGTACATGTACCGAAACACAATTAGACACTTCCCGCGGGGTTTTGATCTGATTAGTAGTATTAGTAGTCACAAGAAGCCGAATTGCGGGATGGTGTAGACCGGAATTATTCAATCTGTATTTTCCCCAGGATTGCGGAGAGAATCGTCCAACAGTCGGCAGCTAGCAGGTCAACCGAGGCATCCATTTGTGCAGACGCTTGTTTGGTGTGTTCTGTGCCTTTTTCTAGAAACTGGAGAAAATATGGCCGATGGCCCCACATTCCAGGGTAGGTCGATAGATTTGACCGCAAAAAAATGAACCTCATGGCTCATATCGTAAGCTTCAGCTCAAGCTAACTCATCGACACGTTGGTTTGCCACCTCATCCCAGAGAGGATAATTAAAAGATGAGGTTCCGTATACATCATGCTCCGATAACACGGGGGCTGCAAAGCTCTGGGGCATGCAATTTCCACTCATCGTCACGATGCTTTCCTTCAACACAGTCTCTCTTCACCACTATCATTCATCGACCGAGATCTCGAGCATCAACCAAGGAGAGCTCAGCTACCCACAGCCGATCTCACTCAGGATGCGGTTGCCATCCAAGTCCAGCTGTCAGCAAAACTAAGACGGCATACATCGCTCTGGGAAGCAACCTCGGAGATCGCATATCTGAAATCGAAAAGGCCTGCAATGAGATGACTAGACGGGGCATTCGGGTTAAGCGGACCAGTAGTCTATGGGAAACAGAGCCCATGTATGTAACGGACCAAGACCGCTTCATAAATGGTGCCTGCGAGGTAGGCCATCTGTGACTCTGTTGTCATTTCATGGAAGCTTGCTTACAGTTGATGTATCTCACAGGTTGAGACCGAATTGGAGCCTCTAGGACTGCTGGATGAATTGCAAGCTATTGAGCGTGAAATGGGTCGCAAGAAACTGATTGACAAAGGCCCACGGAATATTGACCTGGATATTTTACTCTATGGTGATGAAAAGGTACAGAATGAAAGGCTCAACGTACCTCATATCGGCATACCGGAGCGTGAGTTTGTCTTGAGGCCTCTAGCAGAGTAAGTTGGGTTATGTGAGTCTCTTTAGGAGTATTTTCACTGACCGATTCATTTCTTGTATCAGATTAATCCCGTCAAAACCGCTTTACGCCTCGCAACCATGGAAACTTGTCCAGGATTATCTGAATGATCTCACCCCTGGCGAGCCCCTGTCCTCTATTACTCCGCTATCATCAACGCTGGCACCGCTGACGCCTCTCGTACCTGACAGAAAGACCAGCGTCATGGGAATCTTGAACATGACACCTGATTCTTTCTCTGATGGTGGTCGGAATAACTTGGAAAGCCTGTCAAATACTGTTATTGAACTAGTTCGCAATGGAGCCTCAATCATTGATGTTGGTGGACAGTCAACAGCTCCTGGCCGCCCCGAGGTGTCTGCAGAAGAAGAAGCATCTCGCGTTGTGCCTGCAATCGAGCTCATCCGATCTATACCGGAAACTCGTCATGTTGCCATCAGTGTCGACACCTATCGCGCATCTGTGGCCGAAAAGGCCATTGCCAGTGGAGCTGATATCATCAACGATGTCTCTGCGGGTGCTCTAGACACTGATATGCTCCCGACCGTGGGTAGACTTGGGAAGACGATATGTCTGATGCATATGCGAGGAAACCCTCAGACAATGACGAAGCTCACTTCCTATCCAGATGGGTTGGTCCCGACTGTTGCGACTGAACTTCTGTCGCGGGTAGCCGCAGCCGAGGCAGCGGGCATCCGAAGGTGGCGGATTATCCTAGACCCGGGAATCGGGTTCGCTAAGACGGGTGCTCAAAATTTGGAATTGCTACGTAGTCTCGAGGAGCTGAGGGCGTGGCCTGGCTTGCAGGGCCTGCCATGGCTTGTTGGAACGAGTCGGAAGAGTTTCATCGGCAAAGTGACGGGGGTGGAAGAGGCATCGCAGAGGGTTTGGGGCACGGCCGCAACGGTGGCAGCAGCAATTCAAGGGGGAGCGGATGTGATACGAGTTCACGATGTTCGGGAGATGTCCCTGGTGACAACCATGTCGGATGCCATCTGGAGGGCTCGAGACTGAAAGACCTATTCGACTGGCTACAAGACGACGGGCTTCTATCATCCCCATCGGATTACTCTATTTTCTCACCTTGATTTTTCTCTCTTCACCCCCCTCTTCCCCCTTCTCTCTTCCATTTACTTTCTTATCACGCCCTCCGCCTCCGTCAACCTCACCTTATTTACTCCCCTACTATTCTACTTTTCAGAAAAGGAGTTTGGATTGATCAGATGGAATTCACGCAAGAAGAAGAGGAAACAATCGGCAGAGCACGTCTTGGAGACTGGGTAGCGGTACATTGGACAAGATGCTTGGGCCATCCTAAATAGGAATATCTTGCACATCTCCCACAGGCATTTAGCATAAACTGCCTCACTTTTTACAAATGGGAAAAATTACTAGACTTTCTTCACCGGCCGGCGCTATGTTGGGTCCGCGTCTTTTTCGGACACTTTTTCCAATCGAATCGTATTCTTAGATGCCCCTGATCCCTGACTGTGTAGCAATAACAAGGCCCCAAGGCCTTTGAGATGCACCGTCGATCACCGGTGTACGCCCTCCCCAGCCTGTACGACTCCAAGTACAAAGCTGATTAGCTGGACATGGGCTGTTCGGATGTGCTTTCGGGCTGTAACCCAGTATCACTTAGATTTGATCCTCGTGTTAGGCCGGAATTCTATGCCGGTGACACTCGACTTCTACACGAGAACGCCTGCAACTCGTTCTCTCTTTCTTTGTGTGTGTTGTAAAGACCAACGGTGTTACACATGGCACCATCTAAGAGCAACGACTGACGACTCTAATGTGGTGTACAAGATTTGGTCTGAATAACGACAAGTCCAAACCACCCCATGAGGCAACATGGCGTTCGCTAGGGTGAATCTATGGATAGCTACAAAAGTTTCTGGCCAAAGCTACAACAGAGGTACAGAGGTGTACCCCAATCCTGAGCAGCCGGAACATGCAAGGCTGCCATGCAGGGTCGCAACACGTGGATTCGGGTTACCTAACGGTAGGGTTGCAACAAGCGAGGCCAGGCTACATGGCGGCGTCTCTTTTGCAAAAAAGACGAAAAGCGAAGCGGGCCAAGAACCGAATAGGAGATGCAAGTGAGAGGATTTGGGCATAAGTCTCTTGTAGAAGGTAGACAATCTTGGACACATGCGGAAATCCCGCGCCGCCGCAAGGCAGAGATATGCTTACTTGACACAAAGCCCGCTCTCTCCCTGCTTCTCTTCTACTTTCCTCGTCCGTATGATCCTCGATAGGGTACCACACACGCCCCCCCTCCTGTTTTAATATCTCCGGAGAGCAACTGTCGTGAAACTTGAAAACCATGGAAGCGCAACAGGCAGAGGCACCGGTAGGGCTGATCCATCAAAGAGATTTGCGCGCAGCCGCCGCCGAGAAAATCACGGCCTAGAACATGAGATTGATGGAGTAAGCCCTGTCGGCGCATAACTCACGGCTCATCAGCGCTTGGGGTGCGGATGAAGCAGCACGGCTTAAGGCCGACTGACGGGGAGAGCTTGCCTGTACTTTGCTCAGAGCGCTGCAAAACCTTCACCATAGCCTCTCTCTTCCTCTTCCTCTTCTCTCCTTCTGAGTCCTAATTACATCATACGATACGACGAAGGCGGAGAATGGCTACTTGCGGGTAATAAAATGTGAGACACTCCCCTCCCCATGGGGAGCAGAAAAGACCAAAGCCGAGTGACTCGTCGACGCTCGTTTAAAAAATGGAAGAACACGCAAGGCTTTTGGCGACAGTTCGATTCTCGTTGTCATGGCTGTTGTAGTTGGCCCGTCTCCGAAGTCTCTGATCCTCCCGGATCCTCTGATCCAAAATCCCCCAGATTGGTCTCGGGCACCCCGGTTTGGCGACGAACCCATGGGTAGCAGTACTTTGCACAGGGCTCCATCATGGGTCCGCCTAGAACATACGAGTACATGCGCGGTGTAGGTGTGTATACATGTAAGTGTGTCAGTGTGAGTGCGAGTGTGCGTTTGCGTTGGCCGGGCGTGCGTCTGTATCTTTGTTTCCTCCCTGAGAATCATGAACAACTTTGTCACGACTTGAAGCCACTGTTTTTGCCTCTGTTGTCGTTCGTTGTTGTCTCCTACGTAGGGCGTGCGGCCATGACATGACATCGACATGGATACCGGCACACCAACCGTGGGCGTGGGGGCTCTGTCTTCCAAGAACCTGGATTTCGCAAAAAAGGGGGGGCGTGCGGCAAGAAGAAGAAAATATACATCTTGGTTCGAATCACATGCCGCTTGGTACTTTGCGTGAGATGTTTTCTCTCGCCTCCATTTCTTTCATCGACAAGCAAATCACAGTGTAAGGAATTGTTATTTTGTACATGTTCTATCTAGCAGGCATGAACATCTTTTGGTAACACCGATCGAGCTGGAAAATCGCAACAGCTCGCATCGGCACTCGGGAGAGCTAAACGGATGTCACGCCAAATATACAGGTATGTTGCTATCTCGACAAGCACAACAGGGCTCTAAAATGTTCAACACAGCATATACACGCTCCAAGTCGGTCTCCTCAGCTTCGCACACCCCTTGTCTGAGGCCCTGATTTAGTAACCACCTGCCGTAGCGTTTGTCTGTGCTCTCTTTTCTCTGTTGCCACAATCTGCTCAGTGTTCACCAGGTTTCCCGGATGTTAAGATGGGACGGACCGGCCGGGTTATGGGTCCAGGGACGGGAAATGTTGTGTAGCGCCGTTAAAAACAGCCCCGTGTTACTCGAGTTCGTCCGAACTCTGACCCAGTTCTGTGCTTCACACGGCGCGCTTGGCAATACTCTACTTTACGGATATCATTGTATGATATCTCTTCATATCACCAGAAAATAATCTGTTAGAAGGTCTTTCCTCCTCGTTGTAAGATGAGCCGAATGCCGACGTGTCTCCCAAATATGACGTCTTCACATAAACAGAATAATTAATTTCCTCATGCACGTTGGTCATTTACAATTTCCCATATGGAAAGCCAGCACTATAGCTGAGCGGGTAATAATAAAGCCACTCGTTTCAATATGTGCTGAGGAAGACCAGATATGGCCAACTTACAGCTCGTACCTGTAACGATTTGGGCGTCTAAGCAGACGTTTGCCGAAAGTTGCTCGGCTGAGGCCCAAGTCTAGGTCATAATACAGCACATCAGCACACCAGCACACCGGCGCAACGTCCAAGCAAAAGAAAGAATGCAAGAGATGCTTCAATGATTGCAGGGTTATTAAACTCGACTGGGGGCGTACAACTAGCTGGAGAGGGCAAGGCGAAGTGAGTTGTTCAGTCTTCCGCAAACGCCCAAAGACAGAAGCGCTTCATGAAGCAAAGGTATCACCGACTGTCTCCGTTAATGAGACAACATCTTAATCAAAATACAGGGTATGCCAAGCGGGATGGCTGTTTGCCTTTTTTCTCAGCTGCAGGGTCTATGCTAGCACTTGCTATTCCATACTATAACAAACGCGCCAAGAGCACAGGCTGCATGATCGGTGCTAGCAGGCTGAATCCTAAAATCTTTCGATCCCTGCATTCAGCAGAAACATTATGTTACCGAGATGCCAATCCATTTTGTATAAAAGTCTCCGAATAGAACTCACCCGTGGAGGCGATTGTTATATGTGCCTAGAACCACAACGCCACGTTATAGAACTAGCAGCTTTGCCTGTCCAGTAGCAACTTGTTGATTACAATGTTCTTTTCTAATAGGACGCAAATGCATCTCTGATCTCCACAGACGAAGCATGCTCGGAACTACAGTATACGACCCGGAACGAGTAGTGTAGTAGTGAATCAACAACTTGAACAAGGGTATAGCCTGCCGGAAAATACAGCACAGTTCGGGGAGCCTCCGTCTTAGATAGAACATGGAAACAGCATCATGCGTGTACACAACTCGCGGATCCGAGAAGTAACATTACGGGAGGCCATCAATATATCGTCTCTGCGCCAGCGGCGTCACAGTGCATCCGCTAGGACTCACAAAGCCTGCGGCTCTTTGACCGTAGTGCTATTGTCGCTCGCTTGCGGCTTCGGCTGATGGACAGGCGGCAGACGCCATGCTTTGGACTCGCATCGATAGCGTGTCAATTTGATGAGAGTCACGAAACTAGTCTCGCGCTTAGTTGTTTAAGTCTTCACCTGCATGGCTGCATTGAGTAATACATTATACTCCCACCCTTTCTACTTTCGTTGACCCGTAGGACTGCTCACTAGAATACCGAGAGCACCATTCTTGCTGACCATAAAGCAAAGAGCAAGCAAAATCGCAAGGAGGGGAAAAAAAAAAGCCACTATAAAAAGATAATAAAAGTCAACTGCAATGAAACCCTTTAAGAGGGCGGGGGTAAATCGCAATACTGTGGTCCAGCCCCTGAATAATCATCCGCCAAGCACAATGGAAATCGTAATTGTGTTGCATTTCATAAAATAAAGAAAGACCCTGTGAACGCGAGCAATGCGAGATAATAAGAGAAAGCGCATACCGGTCGGTGATGGTCGCACAAAAGTACATATGGAGTCTTGCTTCGGCCAATGCGAAACCCTGGCCACATCATGCATGCCCCCCCTCACATTGTTGATTTCGTTTTGCGCCAGCGCCATGCATCAAGACCCCGGTACCCGGTGTGACGAAAGTATGCAGGATCTTACAGCAAACGGCGACCTCAGCTAACCACGCAGAAGCCTCTCTGACAAAGGGAATGACAGTGTGCGGAATGACGAGCGAAGCCCAACAGCCGACGGAAAAGAAACAATTGGTGAAGTCAAGTAATAAGTATCGTTATGAAAATAATAAGAAAAGAAGTCAACACGAAGCAGAGCGAGAAAGGGATAATAGTAAAAAGAAATTTGGTAAAAAAAAAGTGTGACCTTCATTAACAAATTACATAGGCAAAAGCAAAACCGTAAATAATAATAAGAAGAAGAAGAATAAAATCCAATCTCGAAGACATATTATGAAATCCAAATCCCGCATCATTGTCGTTTCCAGTCCTGCTGTTCCAAAAGCGTTGGCGTGGTTGATCCAACCCATGAGGTCAACCTCATGAGCTATCCAGCAGCGAGGGATTAAAGGACGACTCTATTTCCAAGCAAAAATAATTTCTTTTCCCAAGTGGCCGTAGCATTCATGTGTGTCCTGGAATGCCGCAGCTTGCTGCCATCGACATGAGCCCTGCGGCTTGCCCAGTCACGTATAGTTCCAGTGAACTCCCATTTATCCCGTATTCCAAGTCCGTATTCCAATTCCATATCCCAACCCATATCCCAAGTCAATACCGCTTTTTATTGTCTGCTTTTGGCTCTAGCATTGCAGAAGTTTCGTTCCCGTATGCTCCCGGATCCGAGATTCGATCCCTCACTCTCTTCATTCGGGGCGTTTTTTTCTCATTCGTGAAAAAACGAAACCAGGGCTATAACACTGTTGTCGAACTCTCAGCACGTAATCCTATCCATCACAAAGTCAAACTTGTGGTTGGGGATGATAGGATGGTCGGGTAATAGCCCCCCGAAGTAGATTTGCCCTCAAATGGCCCAGGGTGGCGACGATTCTCCGTCAGCGGTGGGTGAAAGACGCGAGGAGTTACGTCGTACTCGCTTTTTACTTTGGTGTCGGTTGACGACTGCGATGGTGAAGTCTCCTGGTCGCTGCGGGTGCCAAACATCTCCATCGGCCTTGAGTGGGAGTTGTCGTACATTGGCCCGGGATAGTACAAGTATCCCTTGGTGTTTGCCATTACCTTATCATCTTCAGAAGGTATGGTCGCTTCAGAAGGAACGTCATGACTTCTGGGCGTCCCATATACTGATCCCCTCGAGTCATAAGAATTCCCATATGTGCTGTTTCCGCCAATGATGCCAGAGTGAGACGAAAATTCTCCAATGTTTGTCAATGATCCGTATCCACCCATCGTCCCAGAAGAACCCCCAGGGCCACCACTGTGGCTTCGTCTCTTTTCGTTCTGATAATGGCCTGGGGAGCGACCACGGACAATCATCTTCTCGGACTTTCTAAACGCAATCTTGAAGTACTTGTCGGAAGACTGCGAACTAAACGACGAGCCAAGATCTGCCCACAGCTCCACCATGAGATGGTAGTACTGCTGGGCAGCCCTCCGTTTGCCATTGTTCTGAGTGGCCTGCTTGAACTGGATACGCTCAAATGTATGCTCAGTTGCAGGCTGAACAGCTGCCTGTCCGCCGTAGCCATCTTGATACATTGCCCTAGCACCAGATGCGCTCGCGGGGTCGTTGTATATGCCATGATGCGACGGGACAGAGTTTTTGGGGGCCAGCTGGACCTTCTCAGGCTTGGACGTTGGTCCCTTGTCTCTCTTTGGGGTATGCTGGACCAGCTCAATGCTCTGCTGGTCATTGTCCGCCACGACGGCAGATATTGACATGTACAGCCCAAAGACTTGGTAGGCTTGGGTCGATCCTGGGGGGATGAAATGGACTGCAGTATTGGGGTAATGCGGATGCAGCGAATAGGAGCAGGCGCAGGTCATGTAGTTGCGCCGATAGCAAGTCCATTCGCCCTCGGCAAGAAAGAAGCCTTTGTCAACTGTGCCCGTAATATCAATCTTGATTTGCGTCCCGTTCTCATATTGGAGGGAGCCAGATGTCTGGACAGACATGAGCGGAGGCACGGCTGTTGCGGAGGGTCTGTTTTGAAACTGGCCAGCTTCCATCCTCCCGGCCGGAGTAACATAGGAGGTAAGTGGGCTTGGGGTTGGCGACAATGGCAGGCGGCGCAGAGGCACCCCCGGAAAGGACGGCGACCTGACAGGGTGCTCCGAAGCCCTCCGAAATGAGGGCGTTGCAGCAGAGTATTGCTCTCTGGCGCTTACTTGCCCTGTCAAATGCGGCAGTCCAGTGGTGCGGTGCTGCTGATGGTGAGCCTGCGCCATGCCAGTTGAGGGCCCGGTGCTGTTGTAACTGCATCAGTGTTAAAAAAAAAATTGTACGTGCACATGCCGGTGCAACTCCATTGTTGGAACTTTGCTGGAAGAACTTACTTGGAATTCAGGCGAGACCTGATATCCAAACCTGGGAATACTTGAGACACCGGCTGGTAAAAAGCAGTGCTGTCTTGAGAATATTGCGTCGTTGCCCCAAGTCCTGTAGGGTGGTAGAGATTTAGAAGTGCAGGGGGTTGCGAGGGCTCTATTGCTAGAGCCGACGTATTTGCTTCCTGGGTGTACCTAAGAGCTCTAGTTAGAGAGCCTGTGAAAAGAGAAAGAGCTGAAAGAAAAGAAGAAAGAGAGTGAAGGACAAGATGAAGAGGATGCTGTTTTTGTATACAGTCGGAGAACACAGATTCTCGGTGAAGGGGAATGAGAAAAAATATTAAAAATAGAAACAAAGAATAAAAAAAAAAACGACGCAAGAGAGAGAGAAGACCCATTCAGAGGCCAGATGGTCGAGTACAACCAAAGACAAGAGGTTTGGTTATACTTGCCAGCATAGATGGTAGCACAGAGCCAATGCACGAGTCCATGTAGCGGCCAGCGGCAGAGGGCCTTGTACACATCCCTGGGGCAACCTCCACTGCCCAAGTAGAAGCTTCTGGGCCTCATTACAGGTAGATTAAAGTGAGGGTAGAAAATTTTCCGGATGGGCAGCAGCTCTCTGACCGGGCAGATTGGGTTGGGTGTACCAACGAGAAGACGATCAACAAAGTTGGTGCGATGGACTGAACTCACCTCATATCGCCCGGCTGTGAGTGTATGTCGAGATAGTCAAGCTCGGCACAAGGTGGTGGCGAAGAGTCGTAATCCTAAGAGTAGCAGAAGGTATTAGCATCAGATTCTAGCATAAGTATATATATTTGCGTGTTGAGGTACGATGCGGGGATCAAGGTCAGGCTTTGAAGCTGTTTCTGAATGTTATGCTGTATTCCAATCAGCCACAAGCAAAGCATCCTTGACAATGGCTATTGCGTAGGGGCCTAAGGAGATTAGAGACAATACATTAGTAGGCTGCTCTTGGCACTGGAGACAAGATTGGATTTGACCGCAGGGGGTGCGCGTTGGTAACACCGCTGTGAGGCGCCAGGTACAGCATAGGTACATTGAGATACTTCTCAGTCTCAGTGCAGTACCCAGAGGTCATGCAATGGCTGTAAATGGCACATCGGAAGAAGCACGCCAGGCAGTGCTGGGGGGTGGGTGGACTGGGGGCTGGTTACACAAACACCAGTCTGAAGAGGGAGGGGGAGTCTGCATCTGGGCTATGTCGTGTGCATATGGTGCCGAAATCGCCCATAGCAAGATCTTGCTACATGTGAGAGCGGATATTGAGGACGCGCGAAAGGCGGCGCGGCAAATGCGTAAAATGACAACGGTTCTGATAGTGGAATATATAACAAAAGAACATCATATCCATGAGAACGTACCTCATTGTGAAACAAGCTGCTACCTTGGCTCACATACGCTGAAGATAGCACGTCCATTTCAGTTGCCGTATCAAGAATAACAAGCCGCTTACTGCTGAACTTTGGCTTCGCAAGTTTGCCACGGCGACTTGTTGTTCATGGATTGGCAAAGAAAAGGGGAGGGAGAAGAAGGGCAAGAGAACGGAATACCTTCTGCTGCTGAGAATGCATACGTTAAAATCTCCGGTGGAAAAAGATGGCCGTAGCCAAGATCAAAATTAGGCTGGAAAGGCTGTAGGAATCTAAAAGCCGTAGATGAGGCGCAAGTGAATCAGCGGTAGCCTGATCTCCTTGAGAGCTGCTGCCGCTAACTGGAAGTGGGTATGAAATCGGGGTTGTCGATGGGATTATTTAATCTCGATCCTTCATGTATGTCGTCGGGGAGCCTCAGATTCTTGATCCTTTGGCTTATATCTGTCTTGATTATGGATCCGTCAGCTTTCTAATGTCGTCACAAGAGGAGAATGGGTATCGGCAGTATTAAAGTCTCATAGTTTCAATAGAAACTATGAGACTAAAGGCATTGGGGTCTCTTACCTGCTGTAAGTGTAGTATAGAAGGCGACAAGAGGCAGAAAAAGAAGTTGTGTAAAGGACAACTCGAAAGAGAACTGCTATGCTGATTAGTTTTTTTGCTCCTAAGCCGTACCCCTTGACTCCCTTCCATAGCTCAATGCATTTAGAGAGAGGGGTAATGTCAGTTGATGGACGAGGGAAAAGATTCCATCGAGTTGGTGTTATGCTGTGCGCCTTAAGACTGATGATCACGATGATTGTGTTGCTGGCAGAAGAAGTGAAAACAGTAAGAAAAGGACTTACTTCCAACAGGCTTTCCTAGTTTTGTACGCAGAATGAGTGTATTGAGCTCGTAGCGAATGTTGTTGAAGAGTAGGTGGACTCTTTTCGTGCCGAAGGTATAGTATGCAAAGTGACAATAGTGGTGCAGGCTTGCTGAAGAACTGTGAATGATGGTGACAACAGAGATCACAACATCCGATTTAGTTGAGATGGACTTGGCTACGAGTGTTTCAATGAAATCCGGTATGTGTGAGAAATGAGCCTGGAAGGAGTAGTGGAAGGCCACAAGATGAAGGAGAAGAAGGAGGGAAAGAGATGAGCGTCATCGAGGCTTTTAATAAACAAAGCTCGGAAAGGCTCGAAGAGAGAGTCCGAGTTGGTTAGGCTGTGGAGCTCAGAGCAGATGTCTATCGTGTGGCTGCCGAGACCGAGGCAGACAGGGTCGAAAGGACTCAACCCGGAATGGTGTGCAGGGAGCTCGAGCACGTACTTTTTTCCCCCTCTCCCCTCAGTGCTAAAGGTATATATCAAAGTATTAACCTGGCTCGGTCGAGGCAAATCGTGGATGTACAGGCTGTGTGGATCTTGATATGCATATAACTGGCTCTCATAGGAGGTATGCCGTTGAAGGAGCTCACCAGCAGAGTGAAGCTAAAGGGTTTCCCAGTTACAGGAGGAAGCAAGAAGCCGCAGGAGTCAGAGGGTAATGTTTAAGCAGTTGCAAGCACCTCGCGACCCCAGCCAAACAGAGACTCCGAATTTCGCCGCGGAACCGGGGACGCGACCCGCTCCTACTACAGTGAGCATAACTTGGCCATCAACCTCATTTGCGGTCAGGTCATTGAGCAATGGGCTGCGTGCTACACAATCCCGGAAATCCAAGCAGCTCGCTTCCATGGCCCGAGAATAGATGGTCGGTCTTGATTAGCAGGACTAAAGATACCCTCCAGCTGGGCCGCCATTGCGTCAAGGGTCGTCAAGTTTGTTTTCTTGCCTCAATTCACCTGGTATAACCGCCTGCTGAGTTGTTCGCGCACACCCCTCCCCCTTTCCGAGGAACTAAGCATGCAAGCATCCAGACGCCATGTCTCCGCCTCCAATGTGCTGTCGCGCGGGCCTCTTGATGAGCAGGAGATCCTTGACCGGGGGGTCGTTGCCAAGAAAAGGGACGGGTAAGTGCATACGATGGAAAATGCGTTGAAAGAGGAGAACCAGATCAACGTGTGGCCAGTAAAATCCAGAGTAGAAGCCAAGCTCAAGATGCAACAATGCCCCCACGATACGGCTCTAGGTGAGCGCATCTTCTCTCAGTAATGATGCCACAGTTGTGGCGTACTGCGAGTTCTTAAGTGGTTAGGACTTTATAATTAAGCCATTGTCCCTTTATTCGTATTGTGCCACGTAGTCGAGTGGTCCACCAGCCTACAAAGCGGCAGATGAACAAAGGGTCTGCCGTCTCAAAGCAACGTGGCTTTGAGCCTGGACTTGCGTCTCGGCTTGAGTAGATGTGCTTTGTTTTTCACTAAGAGGTATCACAGCCTGGATAGCCATGGTTGTCAAGATAATGTTGTCGGCACGCGAGTTTCGAGTGCTCAAGCTTTTATCTCTCTTTCAGCTTCATGGGCGAGTTGTTAGCTCCCGGTAGGCGGCACACAATCTGACACACTTTGGAGGTAAAATAAAAAAAATGAAGAAGAAGAGCCGTGATGGTGATGTTAATAGGCCACAGTTCTTAGCCTGTAAATCGTGACCCAGCTACAAACTCGACAAGAGGACCCAGCTTGCCCTTGAAGCATCTGTTTTTAGTACGCTCGAGGGCAACGGGTTGATAATAGGAGCCAATGGCGAGACCATCTACCCGAGCAAGGTGGATTTTGCCGTCTCTGATCAGCCGATCCGAGAACGGAGGAGTAGATTGAGAGGCAAGCAAGGCCCTGGGCCGCAGTCCAGGAGGCTCTCCAATGGGAATGTTTAGGGAGCCACGCAGGCACTATTTGCCTGTGTAACTTTCCAGTAGACCAGGGCAGTAACGACTCTTGGAACAAAGCCACCGCGTCCTGTACACATCATAAACTCCCTGGAGGGGCGTTAAAGCACAGGCGGTGCGCTTGGTTGAGAGCAGAAGGCCCCACGATGCCACAATGTCGGCCTGTAGGAAGCAAACAATTAACGAAGCGTCGAAATTGCCAAGGAGGAGGAGGCGTTTAGAGTCAGGTCGGATCGGCCCGTTGCTGGGAATCCACGCCGGTTTACAGGAAAAAGCTGTTTGACGAGGTAATTGATCAAAATAGGGTTGCCAGGAAAGTGAAGATTAGATGGAATCAAATGCCTTCATGGTAGTGCTCAGCAGGGTTTCCAACTCCCAGTGTTATGACAGGGCAGCCAAACCGAGGCAGGTAACAAAGAAAGAGATCAGATAGATCTCTGTACGAGGTGACAAATCGCAACTGTGATTCCGCATTTCTCAATCCCGATACGAACAGGAGGAGCCAGCCCTGAGCATGGAATATGAAGTGGACAGCTTGTGTGCCATGAGTTTCAAGAACAACGCAATACGTAGGGCCAGAGAATGTTTTGCATTTTTCGTGTTACCCCTTTGGCCATCTAAAATCAAAAGCAGCAGCAATGGCACGGCGTGACACGAAGATTGGGGGCCACTGAGCTTCAGCATTGTCGCCAGTCGGGTGAGGCGATGGCTGCCTCTGCTCCTTGCATCTGTGTCTGCCTTGATGCTGCCGCTGGTGCTGGTGCTATCGCCGCATCGCAGGCTAGAGGCCAACACGGGAGAGTCGGCGTTGGCCAAGTCCAATTCCAGGTCCCCATGTCTTTGCAGTTCTCGTCTCTATCCTCGGCGGCCATCCGAAGAGGCCCAGTCAGGGTCAGGCCAGGACCAGGAAAGCCAGCTAGCAGGCGGCAATGGGGTTTGAGAGGGTCGCCAGACTTCAGCTGTTGAGGACGTTTGTCTCACGCTCGGACTTAGCGGCGGCTGGCTGATGCTGCCGCAACGAATGCTTGCATGCTAGAAGCTCCTCGACACGCTGATTCGCTCATTGCCTCACGTTTGTCTCCATCACGTCCAGAGTGCCGTATCGTACTTGCAACCGGTGAGCAGGGGGGCGATGCGAGAGCGCCTAGAGGGCTAAGCAAGGACTCAGAGGCAGAGGCCAGAGGTGCATAGCGCGCCCCAAGTACCCGGGAAGCGGTCGACCTGTTTTGCAGACGGGATGAAAGCTTTTGAGATGGAGTTCTGTCCTGACCGGTTGGAGT